CCTCGCCAACATGGCGAAATCTCATCTATAATAAAAATACAAAAATTAGCTGGACATGGTGGTACATGCCTGTAGTCCCAGCTACTTGGGAAGCTGAGGCAGGAGAATCGCTTGAACCTGGGAAGCGGAGGTTGCAGTGAGCTAAGATTGTGCTATGCACTCTAGCCTGGGTGGTAGAGTGAGACTTCATCGCAAAAAAAAAAAAAAAAAGTAATGTGCCAATTGTTGGCTCCTTAATTTCAATGAATGTACCATGGATACTGCGCAAGATGCTAACAGTAGGGGAAGCACAATGACGGCTATATAGCAACTCTGTACTGTCATTACAACTTCTCTGTAGATTTTTTTAAAAATAGATTTTCGCTTTTGTTGCCCAGGCTGGAGTGCAATGGTGTGATCTAGGCTCACTGCAACTTCTGCCTCAGTCTACCAAGTAGCTGGGATTATAGGCACGTGCCACTACACCTGGCTAATTTTGTATTTTTAGTACAGATAGGGTTTCTCCATGTTGGTCAGTCTGTTCTCGAACTCCTGACCTCAGGTGATCTGCCCACCTCGGCCTCCCAAAGTGCTGGGATTACAGGTGTGAGCCACCGCGCCTGGCCAATGCAGATTTTTTTTTTTTTTAACACAATGCTAAGCAGCAGATGCTAAGGTCAGGCATGTGAGGAGAGTGTATCCTGCTCCAGTTTTATTCAGGAACTCATACCAGGGCTTTGAGCTTTTGAAGTTTCAGTGCACAAATGTGCCCAGGCCTGCCCTGCCTAGAAGTTGCAGGGCATGGGGGTTGGGAAACTGCTGCCAACAGGGCATCATTAGGCCGGGACAACACAGGCGCCTGCCAGCCTGCCCCAGCTCTGCCCAGTACCGCCAGCACAACCCAGCCAATAGCTACCTTCTATTTGTTTATTCTTTTTTTTTTCCATTTATTTATTTTATTGCATTTTAGGTTTTGGGGTACATGTGAAGAACATGCAAAATTGTTGCATAGGTACACACATGGCAGTGTGATTTGCTGCCTTCCTCCCCTTCACCT